TTTTTGCCATTTCTACACCCAGAGTGAGGCTTGAACCCACAATCCCAAGATCAAGGGTCACATGCTCCACCGACTGAGCCAGCCAGGTGCCCTTGGGGATGTGAATTAATTCAACCAGTGGACAATGGCTGATCAGTATATGCTAAACCTGGACGTATTCATAAGCTCTATTCCTAAAAGCCCCAAACTGGGACGCACCCTGAAATATTGGGATTTATAAAAAGAAATGTGTATTTGATCTCCATTCTGTTTCTGGCAGAGTTCCTAAACCTTTACAATTTCCGATGTGCTGTAGAGTGTTCAAGGTGCCTTGATATTCTTACCAAACCCCTTTCAACCACATTTGCCTTGGTACGGTGACTTTGGAAAGCACCTAAGAGCGGGGGCTGGTTGCCAGGGGAACGAACCAAGTGGTTAGAGGGCTAGAACTCTCAGTCCCACCCTCTGACCACACGGGGGAAGGGGAGAGCTACTGGAGGTTGAATCCATCGCCAACGGTCAGTGATTGAATCAGCCCTGCCTGTGTAAGGAAGACGCCATAAAACCCAAAAAGACGGGATTCAGAGAGCCCCCAGGGGGATGAGCTCCTGGAAATTTGGGGAAACTTGTCCCTGGAGAGAGCATTGAGGCTCCATACCCTTTCCCCATGCCTTATCTGACTGTTCCTGGGTTATATCCTTTTTTTTTTTTTTTAATTGGGGTGGGGGTGTGTATCCTTTTATAATGAAGCAGTAATCTAGTAAGTAACATGTTTCTTTGAGTTCTGTGAACCACTCCAGCTAATTAATCCAACCCAAGGAAGGGATTGTGCTAACCTCTGCTCTGTAGTTTACGGGTCAGAAGCACAGGTGACAACCTGGATTGGGAACGAGTATCTCAAGTTGGGGGGAGGGGGGCAGGGCTTCTGGTACCGAACCCTTAACTTGCAGGATCTGCGACTCTCCAGATAAATAGCGTCAGGAATTGAGTTAAACTGTAGGACGCCCAGCTGGTGTTGGCGAATGGGTTGGAAAACCCATCGGAACTGGTGTCGGGATCACGGACGCAGAAGTTCATTACCAGTGGAACGGGTAGTAAATTAAGGTACATTCAATGAGCAAACTATAACCACGCAAAACGTCTCACAGAAGGGCGTTAAGGGAAAGCAGTCCTGTTTTCTCTTTCTCCTCTCATACCTGATCTCTCACATCCCGTCTGACCCGTTGGTCTGACCTTCAAAATGCACCAGAACCCGATCACTCTTTGCTGCCCCCGCCCTGGTCCTGCGCCCTTGCCCGCCCACCTGGACTGCTCAGTGCCCGCAGCGCTGAAAGGTCCCCGCGTCCAACCTCTCCTCCCTCGACCTGTTCCCCACATGGCCGCCAGAGGGCGCCTGTTCCCCACTGATGGGTGATTGAGCTCCTTTTCTGCTAGACACTCGTCCCTGGCTCCGGGCTCATTCCTAGAAAAGCCTAAGTGCCCGCAAGGCTTTGAAGTGTCTGGCCCCTTCCTTCTCTGCCTTCACACCCCGCTCTCTCCCCAGGGCTCGCTCACTCCGTTCTGGTCACGCCTGGCTTACAGTTAGTTCCTGCAACACTTGGCGCTTCCTCTTAGCCTCAGGGCCATTGTACTGGCTGTTCTCTCGGCTGGGAACGCCCTCCCCCCAGACACCCACTTGGCTCATCCCTCACCCGCTTCAGGTGGCTGCTCCAATTACACCTTCTACCGGGAATTAAATGATATTAGGGAATCGTTGTTAATTTCATTATGCCGTGGGAAAGTGATTTATAGTAGGGAAAATGTCTTCACTGTTGGAAGACACAGGCTGAAGGGTGGAGTGGGGAAGATGGCTCGAATGGGTCCTAAAATGGTTCAGCAAATACAGAAACATTAAACAAAAGAGGCAAATGAGGCAAAATGTGGCAGATTGCTGAACACCAATATAGAGGGCAACCTTATGATTCTTCCTATTTTTCTGTACATTCCAAATTTTCATAATCAAAAGGTTTTCTAAGTGCCACTTAGAAAGCCTCGGTGAGGCTTTTCTGGTCCACAATATATATAATATATATTATATATATAATATATATAATATATAATATATATAAAATATAATATATATTATATAATATATTGTATATATTATATTATATATTATAATATATATTATATATAATATATTATATATATTATATATATATTTTAACGTTTACTTATTATTGAGAGACAGAGAGAGACAGCATGAGCAGGGGAGGGGCCAAGAGAGAGAGGGAGACACGGAATCCGAAGCAGGCTCCAGGCTCGGAGCCGTCCGCACAGAGCCCAATGCGGGGCTCGAACCCACAAACCGGGAGATCATGACCTGAGCCAAAGTCAGACGCTTAACCGACTGAGCCACCCAGGCGCCCCACCGGGCCACAATATTTAAAATTATCCTTCGGAGAGCCTGGGTGGCTCAGTCCGTTAAGCAATGGACTCTCGATTTCGGCTCAGGTCATGGTCTCACAGTCCTGGGATTGAGCCCCACATGGGGCTCCGTGCTGACAGCACGGAGCCTACTTGGGATTCTCTCTCTCCCCCTCTTTCTCTGCCCCTCTTCTGCTCGTGCTCTCTCTCTCTCTCAAAATAAATGAACATGAAAAATAAAAAATAAAATAAAAATTATACACCCTTCCCTGCTTTGTTTTCTTCCATAACACTTGTTTGTATTCACCACACATGGAAGTTTTCTATGTTTTATAATAAATAAATAAATATATACATTTAAAGGTATATAGTATTCCTCCTGATATATAGATATCAGAAGACACATAAATATACTTCATACTATACAGTATGTAAACATACTTCATAATATACAAGTATGTAAACATGCCTAATAATATAGTAGAATATATATATACTTATATATAGAATTATATATATATAATAGATATATAGTAGAATTATATATATATATATATATAATAGTAGAAATATATATACTTTCTCCTATACAAACATACTTTGCACTAAATAAACACATAGCATATATTTATAAAATATTTTGTGTTAATATATTTATATAAAAATATTACATATAGGGACGCTTGACCGGCTCCGTCAGTAGAGCATGAGACTCTTGATCTCGGGGTCATGAGTTCGAGCCCCAAGTTGGGGTTAGACTTTACTTACTAAATTTTTTTAAAGTATATATATATACTATACAATAGAAATTATATAATTTATAATATTGATTTTACCAGGGTGTTGTGTTTACTTTGTCACCCACCCCTACCCCACTGGAATATGACTGGCAAGAGGACAGTCTTGTCCTCATCTAGACTCTGCTGGGTCTCCCGTCCCAGCCCAGGGCCTAACACACAGTAGGAAAGTTTGTGGCACTGATTAATTCCCTTCCCCCGGTTCCTGAGTGGGCCTAAAGATCCTTCTGGCAAGAAAAAAAAAAAAGTCCTTCAGGGCCCTTCCCCCCCCCCACCCCCCAGCCTCCCAAGCCCTGCCTGGTTCCAGTGTGCCAGGCACAACTATCCTATTTAATCCCCACCCCCCCCCCAACAAACTTATGAGTAAGGTACTCTCCTCACCCCCATTTTATAGATGGGGAAACTAAGACCCAGAGAGGCTGTCCCTTTGCCGAAATTCACACAGCTAAAAAACAAATAGCTAAGATTTTATTTTTTTGAGAGAAGTGTTGTGTTCCTTTCTTTTTTTTTAAGGTCTATTTTTGAGAGAGCACAAGCAGGGGACGGGCAGAGAGAGAGGGGGCCAGAGGATCCAAAGCGGGCTTAGTGAGGATAGCAGAGACCCCGAGGCGGGGCTCGAGCTCACCAACCATGAGAATTTCCCCTTGCATCCTGGACCTTCTCCCGAGCAATCACTGACAAAAGGGGGTGAGAGGGTTTGCCAGTGGTTATCAACAAATCAGAATTTTTTTTAATGTTTATTTATTTTTGAGACTGAGAGAGACAGAGCATGAATGGGGGAGGGGCAGAGAGAGAGGGAGACACAGAATCGGAAGCAGGCTCCAGGCTCCGAGCCATTAGTCCAGAGCCCGACGTGGGGCTCGAACTCATGGACCGTGAGATCGTGACCTGAGCTGAAGTCGGATGCTCAATAGACTGAGTCACCCAGGGGCCCCAACAAATCAGAATTTTATTCCAAAGCGGTTGGTTGCTGGGTAGGCCACAGACCTTGTCTGCTCCATAGTCCCCCGTGGGTCTCCCTCTAACAAAGGGTGTCAGAGATAAAGCGACAGGCCCAAGGCCACACACCCGGCAGATGACACATCTGTGACCAGCTGGATATGCCCGGTCCTAACGTCTGGTTCTCTCTACACCTACACACATAAATAATTAAAGTATGTATGTGAAAGAGCCAAGATCTGGCTACGAGGCACGACACAGGGAGGTAATGGTGACTATGTTTTATAGACAGACTTCTGACGTTGACCCCATCCAAGGGTATTGTACCTTGCCTCACTCCACACTCACCAGGGCCCACTATCTGCGGTACTGGCCATGGGTGCTGGGAAGCCCTTGGAAGAGAGCAAGCAGGGGAGGGGCAGCTCTTGATGCACAAAGACCCTCCGGGGGCCAAAGTGGATGCCAGGGCTCAGGCTAGGGCCAGGGTCCAGGCAGAAGAGAACTGCGTTGAAGCGGGGCCGAGGGGGCCCAGAGGAGACCCACAGGGCCGATTTGGGGACAGGAGGACAGGGCTTGAGTCTGATGGGCTTTGGCAGGGGAAGAGGGGCAGGGCCGAGGCATCTGGCCTAGCGACTGGATGTACAGTGGGGCTGTCCCAAAGATGGGGCAGTAGATAGAGGAAGCGCGAATTCTTGGGCCAAGAGGCCAAACTCAGTTTATGAGGAGGCGAAAAAAGCTTCCACGTCAGAGAAACGAGAAACGGCCAGGACACTGGGAGCTCCCATCGCTGGGTCTTTGAAAATGAAAAGGGCCCAGGGCAGGGATTCCTGGTTGAAACCCTGGAGTCCCTGAGGTGCATCATCGGGGATGACAAGCTGATGTTTTGTTCTTTGGCATTTTATTTCAAAATAAAAGAGGGGAAAAAAAAAAATCAACAGCAGCACCGGGAGATCCGGCCTGAGAACGGAGAGATGCGGAGCTGGGGGGCCAAAGTGCATCCTCGACCCCAGGAAACGGAGCAGCGGGGAGTCCAGATCCCCCCCCCCCGCCCCCCGCAAAGGCCTGAGAGGCGGGGCTGGGGCCCAGACGCCTGGGTAGGGCCCTTATGGCTTTGGGAGTGTAGAGACCACGCGGGGGCGCCAGAGACCCAGGCGTCCCGGCTCCCCCTGGCCTTTTATTTCATATTGCACTTGAGGTGAGTCAAGGGTAGGGAGGCGAGGTTCCGGCGAGGACTAGATGCTACGGGTCAGTGGGTCCGAGGGGAGGTAGGTCAGTCTTTAGCGTCACACCGGGAGCATCCACTCGTGGGTTCCCGTTCCGTACTGCGGGACGACAGAGGTGGGCCGTGAGAGGAAAGCCACACTGCAACTCCCAGCAAGCCCTGGGGCGTCCCACGCTAAAGGGTTGTGGAGTTGCGCCCCCACGACTCCATGGGAAATGTAGTCCACTTCCCGGAAGACTGCCTACCGCTATAGGGAAAGGGGAATCGGGGCCGAGATGGCGCGGAGGCTCGAGGGCGAGGTAGTTCCGCCAAGGGTCACTGTCAGGCCCCCGAAGGCTCTAGGGGAAAAAAAATCCTCTCCGGCCGGGAAGGCCCAGAAAGTCCATTGACGTGTAGTTCTAGGTCCCGAGGCACAGGACTTTACCGAAGCTCCGGGGAAATGTAGTTCTAGGTCGAGTGCCATGGAAAGGGGCCCGGAGCTTCTCAGGAAAGCTCTCTCGGCTGGGATGAAATGGAAACACCTCCAGGGGCTTAGGAGAGGAGATATTCCTGGGCCACAGTGGGGGCTGAGGTCCAGAGGCTGGCAGGAGAGTCCTCAGGCCAAAAGGAGAGCCCAGGGCTCCAGGGCCACCACGCGCGGCGGGCTTCTGGGCCAAATACCCACCGGAAGTCCCAGAGGTTCATGGGAAGGGAGTGCCCCCACCGGAAGCGCCCCCCTTGGAGGCACAAGGGCAGGGAAGGCGAGTTCTCAAGCCAGGGTTCTAGAGGCTCCCAGGAAAGGGTCATTTCCCGCCAAAGAGTGTTCTAGGCCACAGAGGCTCCCGGAAAAGGAGACCGTCTGGGGCCCAGAGGCCGATGGCAGGGGCCATTATTGGCTCTTCGGCCTGCGGCGGGGGGTGGGGGGAAGGAGGCTCATGGAACGTGACCTTCCCTGGGGAGCACCCATCCAGCCCATTTCCCGGCGGGTGCACCTCACCTGGATGGCCCTCAGCTCCTTCAGGAAGCGGTGGATAAGCTCGGGCCCATTTTCCATGGTGGGAATGTGTAAGTGCTGGAGGAGAAAGCGCCGTGAGGCCCGGGCCGCGCGCCGCCTTCTTCCCCCTCGCGTCCCCAACGGCAGCCCCACCTCACCTTGCCTTGGTACACGATCCGGTGGACAGGGCAGACCTGGCAAGCGGTGCCCGAGCCAAAGACTTCCCGGACCCGTCCCTCGTCCAGCGCCCGCAACAGCTCCTTCATGGTGATCTTCCGCTCTACGACCCGGAACTCACCCTGCGGGGCGATACACAGGCGCCCGGGGGGGCTGCGCTGCCGCGGAGCCCGGCCTCCCCCGCCTCCCCAAGAAGGGTCAGAAAGAGACCCGAGGAGACACAGCCGGAGAGAAGGGGCGGGTGCCAGGGCGCCACGGCGCCCCCCGCCCATTTCCCCCTGAAGGATCTGGCCCGCAGCCCCGCAGGATCCCATCATTCCCGCAGACGCTGCGCCCTCACCCAGGTCCTGGCCAGGTCCAGCAGACTCTGTCTGACTACTCCAGGCAGGATGATACCGTCCAGCGAGGGGGTCACCAGCTCGAGCACTGGGGCAAGTATAAGGATGGGGGTGTCCCCTCACACCCTGCCATCCCCTTAGGAGCCATCCGAACCCCCCCCCCCCAGATCTGCGATCTGCTGGGAGTGACGGTAGCCCACTCCCGCCAGGGCCTGTGTTGGGTCAGGGGAGGGCTCACCCCCATCCTCGTAGGTCCAGTAGATAAAGATGTTCATGGTGCCCACCTCGGTGAGCTGGTGGTCAGGCCCGTACAGCCAGAGGACCTGTTCGCAGCCCCTCTTTTTCGCCTCCTCCTGCACCAACACCGTGGGCCCGTAATTCCTGGGAGAGGGCGACGGGGTTGACCGGGGAGCCGTCTTCTTCCTCAGACTCCGCTGAGGGGCAACCACCTCCTCTGTGAACTCTTACGACGCCCCCAGCCGGTCCCATCACAGCACATGCAGGGGCTCCCACCAGCCTGGGAGGCCCTGGAGGGCAAGGGCCCGGACCCGATTCATCCGTGTCCCCAGCTTCACCCAGCACAGGGCCTGGCCCTCGGGAGACCTCACAAGGTTGAAAGGACCTGAATGAAACTCCCAGCTGGGGCCACATTCGCTCTCCCAACACGCCTGTACCCCACCTTCTGTCGGGATCACCACGTGGGAGACCCTCCCCGCCAAGGCCAAGGCCCCTGGCAGGACAGATTTACACAGAAGGCCCACACAGAGGGGGGGACGATCATTGGAGGCCCCAGGGTACTGGGAGAGCTGAGCATGGGGGTCGGGAGGTGGGGTGCTGGCTGAGCTTGGGTGTTCAGGGGAGCCTGCGTGGGGGAGACACCAATGAGCTAAGTATAAACTTCATTTCTGGAGGCTTCCCAGGGGGCCGATCCTGGTTTCCCCACTGCCTTTCACCCAACCCCTTCCTAATACCTTTTTTTTTTTTATGTTAACAATTATCTATTTTTGAGAGAGAGAGAGCATGAGCAGGGGAGGGGCAGAGAGAGAAGGAGACAGAATCTGAAGCAAGGCTCCAGGCTCTGAGCTGTCAGCACAGAGCCCGACGCGGGGCTCGAACTCACGCACCGCGAGGTCATGACCTGAGCGGCAGTTGGACATTTAACCGACTGAGCCACCCAGGCACCCCACCCCTTCCTAATTCTGAGCCGACTTGTCCACAATGCTTAGCACAGACCCTCTCCCCTAGAGCCCCCTCCCCCCCCCCCAGTGCCAACATCACAGCCCACGGGCAAGCAGAGCTGTCCCAGGTATGTGAAGTAAGAGGGGAAGGACAGTGGACATCCAAAGACGCAAATCGACACCCAGTGCCTCTGAAATCCAGGGCACACGACATGTGGGGTCGGGGGAGGGACTACTTACCCCCCGACCTTGTAGTCACCGACCCCACCCACCCAGGCCCGGATGAATGTCGGGTCGGCTAGGAGGGAGACAGGGTCCACGGCATCTCCAGGGAAGTACGGGCCCACAGGGCAGAGAATGACAAACAGGAGAGCTTGCGAGGAACGGGCGACACCCAGTGAGGGCTGCAGTGGGCAGAAGGGGGCATCAGGGACCCAGGAGTCCAGGCCCCCAGGCCAGCCCCTCCCTCTCCCCTGGAGTTCCCACCGCTGCCCCTCAGCAGACCCCCCGCCTTCCGCCCCACATCCATCCCGCGCCGGAGTCAGGCCTACCTCATTTCCAATGATCACAGGTCGCACATAGAGGCTCGCGTTGGTGTCATCAGGGACCCAGTCTTTGTCCACTTCCACCAGCCGGCGGATACACTCCAGCAACTCGGCCTTGTCAAAACTCTGGGCAGGATTCCCATGAGTCAGGGGGACCCCCTGCGCCTCTCCCCCCCCCACCCCCGGGGGCCAGCCACGGCCCCTCACCGGCAGGCAGAGGCGCAGGGCCGAGCGCAGCATCCGGTCCATGTTGAGCCAGGGTCTGAAGAGGCGCACCTGCTGGTCGCTGCCTTTGAACGCCTTCATGCCCTCAAAGAGCTGCTGGGACAGGGGCGTAGGGGACTCAGCTCAGAGACCACCTCAGAGAGCCATGAGAGACACCAAATCAGAGCCTGATACACAAGGATACGGACACGGATGCAGAGACGGGGCTGGGGAGAGACTAACAATGGAGCACACAGAGGAAGGAAAGAGAAGAGACAGAGACACCAGTAACAGCCAGAGAGACCCAGAGACAGGGGTGCAGAGACAACACCCTACTTAAACCCTTTCCATGTTACATGGTACGATTTCTCGGGAACAACAATGGTGTGGAAGCTCTGGTTTTAAAGAATCCTCGTGTTTGAGAAGCACTGGAACAGCTACGGATGTAATGATACAACTTCCAGGATTTGCTTCAAAAATCTTACAGAAAGGGGGACAAAGAATGGAGTCCTGATGAAATGAGACAGTGATCGACACGTGTGCTAGCCGATGAAGTGGGGAAGGGGGGGCAGTTACCGCATTCTTTTTTCTTCCAAAGTATATTTATTTAATTAAAATGTAACGCCTTGGGGCGCCTGGGTGGCTCAGTCGGTTAAGCGTCCGACTTCGGCTCAGGTCGTGAGCTCGCGGTTCGTGGGTTCGAGCCCCGCGTCGGGCTCTGTGCTGGCAGCTCAGAGTCCGGACCCTGCTTCGGATTCTGTCGCCGTGTCTCTCTGACCCTCCCCTGCTTGCGCTCGAGCCCTCCATGGCTCCCAGGGCCCTCAACAAGGTGCCGGCCCCACAGCTCCTCTGTGGCCCTGAGGGTATCCTTAGCCTCCCCTGCCTCACTCCAGTCCCCGAATCCCCCCAGTACGCCGGGCTCTCCTTTGTCCCGAGTCTTTGTACTAGCTGCTCTGTCTCCTGCTAACACCCTCTAAGCTTCCCTCCGCCAGAAGAGACCCTACTTTCTTTCAAGTTACAGGTAGGATCGGTGCCTCCTCTGGCTTCCACGATGCCTCAGGTGCCTCCCCACCCCCACCCGCCATCACGATCATGCTGGGCTGTAACCAAAACACGGGGGTTTCAAAGGAGAGAACTGGGTCTGTTCATCTCGGGGAACCCAGCATCACCCAGCTCGGGGCTCGGCCTGGAATACGAGGGACCTGAGAAGGAAGGGAGACACGGAAAGCAAACCCAGGGCGGTGCACCCGGCAAGAGGGAACAGATGCAGAAAGACGGGGACGGAGGTCGGGCGCCATGCCTGTAGCGAGTAGTGGAGGCCGGAGCAGGCTGGGTGCAGCATGAGGTTCTGGAAGGGCTGGATACGGGGCTGGCCCCAGCCCTTCTTCTCGGTCCATTCCACCATCAGCATGTGGTCAGTGAAATTCTTCCCAAACACCAGGGGCTTGCTGGGGTCAGGCTTCTCATGAGGCTCCCGTGTTATTTCCAGCTGCAGGTCTGCAGCCTGAGAAGAGACGGGGGACCTGGGTATCCTGAACTCTGGGCCCAACCTCAAACTGAAAAACTACAACCCCCATGAATCTCTGGGGCTAAGACCTAGAGAGAAGAGACCCCCCTGTGGCCCCAGAGGCTTCTGGGACATGCAGTATCCAATCTCTCCCACAGCCTTATGGCGGATTATGAGGCCAGCCCGTTGCCAACCACCTTCACCTTTGGACCCTGGACCCTTTTGGAGATGCCCAAATCCAGCTGCCGGCCCCTCCCTCAAGCCTAAGGGTCCTCGCCCTCAGTCCCCTCCTCCCTCAGACCCAGTAAGTCGTCCAGGCCCCAGCCCCTCCTTGAGATCCAAAAGTATATTCCCGTCCATTCACCTTGAAGTTGGATGAGGCGTATCTTCTGGGGCCACACAGAAGCCAAGAGACAGGGAGGAGTTTGCGGGCCCAAATCTGGAGGGGGGGGGGGACAGAAGTAAGAAAGGTAGTGAGGCCAGGAGAGAGAGAGAGAGAGAGAGAGATGGAGAGAGACAGCGAGCAGGGGACCCTGGCGCTCGCTTTGCCACTTCCTGAACTTGGGAGGTCCCTCTGGCCTGCTCTATCCCAGACCCGGTGCATTCTAGATGGGGCATGTAGCCCTGGCCAAGTCTGCCCCCCTCTCAGATCAGCGTATAGTGGGAGGGAATCCCAAAGGAGGCCAAGTCCCCTCCCTGCCCTCGCGAGGGAAATCCCTAGAAAAAGCTGAATCAGCTCCTGTTCCCTCCTTGCCAGGGCAAAGTTAAACACAGGCACCTCCCACCCCGGGGAACTTTGTCCCCAGCCCTGAAATCAGCTCAGACAGAAGACAACCGACTGAGGGAAAGTGCACAGGTAAGTGAAGGCCTCCCTGGGGGACCCAAATCCTGATAAGAGTTAGAAAACTGAGGAACCTATAGGCCATAACTCCCCAGAACCCAGAAGCTGGGCCCCCCGCCCCCTCCTCCCTCAGACCCAGAACTCTGGACTCCTCAGACCCAGGAGACCCAGTCCCCAGCCCCTCCTCCCTCAGGCCCAGGAGTCCAGACCCCCAGCCCCCTCCTACCCCAAACCCAGGCCTGTATCCCCTCCTCCCTCAGACCCAGGAGTCCTGACCTCCAGCTTCCCCTTACCCCAGACCCAGGAGTCCAGGCCCACAGCCTGCTCCTCCCTCAGACTCAGGAATCCGGGCTCCCAGCCCCCTCCTCCCTCAGATCCAAGAGTCCAGGACCCCAGGCCCCTCCTCCCCCAGACCAAGGAGTCCAGGCCCCAGGCTCCTTCTCCTTCAGACCCAGGACTCCAAGGCCTTATTCTCAGGCCTCAGATTACCTGAGGCTCCCAACCCCATACCTCAGACACCACTGATTCTAATTCCCTACGGATCCCAGGGCTGAGGTGACCACATGGGCCTGGGGGGGGGGGGGGCGTCCCCTAGTCATTGACAGAGACCCTGCTCAGATCAACACTTGTGGTCCTGCCTGAGGCAAATAAGGGAGAGCAGGTCTGTCTGTGCCCATCAGGGTGGCCTCTCCCCAGTATTCTTTTTTTTAATTTTTTTCAACGTTTTTATTTATTTTTGGGACAGAGAGAGACAGAGCATGAACGGGGGAGGGGCAGAGAGAGAGGGAGACACAGAATCGGAAACAGGCTCCAGGCTCTGAGCCATCAGCCCAGAGCCCGACGCGGGGCTCGAACTCACGGACCGTGAGATCGTGACTCCCCAGTATTCTTTGACCTCACAGTGCCTCCTTCCCAGCCTGGCAGGAAAGCAGCTGGGTCATGAGGTTCGGGCCACCACAACAGCGGACGTAGCCTGCTCCTGCCCTGTGCGCTGGGTGAGCGGACGTGAGCATGAATGGCAGCAGCCACTGGTCAGTAGGTGAGTCCTGGGGAAATGGGGGGTGCTGGGCTGCCAGGTCCTAAAGTCTGGGCCCTGAAGTCAGAGGAGTGGGGCTGGAGAGCGTGGGCCCAAGAGCGGCCGGCCGAGCAGGGTGTGGGTCTGCATCGTGGCCTCTAGGTGGCGCTGCGTTGCCCACACAAGTCTGTGGCCACGCTTCTGTCCCGGAGGGAACCGGGCTGCACAGCATGGAGACAGCATGGCCACCCATGGTGGAGACAGAGGTATCCGGGCAGGAGAGTGGCCCTCAGAAGGAGCCACATGGAGAAAAACAAAAAAAAAAAAAAAAAAAAAAGAGGGAAGAGCAAGAATGAGAAAGAGACAGATGGAAACAGAAAACAAAACTCAGGGGCCGCCTGGCTGGCTCGGCCGGAGGAACGTGGGACTCTTGATCGCGGGTTGGTGAGCTGGAGGGTTGAGCCTCGCGCTGGGTGGAGAGATTACTTACACATAAAGCCTTTCAAAAGACACACTGAAGACAAAACTGAGAAGAGCAAGAAATCAGGAACAAGAGATGCCAAAAGAGATTCGATCATAAAGACAGACCGATACGAGAGACAGATAGGGAGACAAACTCACGTCAAGTCAAGTCTGGAGAAATCCAGAAAAATTCCGAGGGCGAGATATAGAGAAGCTGAGGGAAGGAGGAAGAAGTGGACAGAGACCAGGCTTCAGGTGACAGACAGCACAAAGTGAAAGAAGACCAGGGGAAGCGAGCAAAGCCGACACCAGGAAACAAGCTGTCTCGGTGATATTTACAGACAGAGATACCCAGGAGATAGAGATATCTCTACCTCTCCCACAGGGCACAGAGAAGGGGCCGGACAGTGTCCAGATTATAAATCTGCACTGGCCATCAAGACCCTGTTGTCCTGAGAGAAGCTGTCTTCGTCTTCCCAGGACATTTCTGCAGGCACAGGGGGCTCAGCTCAGCTCAGGGAAGGTGCTCCACCTTCTGACACCCCACGCCACGGGGATCGGACCCAAGGGATACCCTCAGATGGTAGATGGGCTGTTGGGACAAAGGGTGTAAAAGGGTGGGGGCTGAATTAAGAAACAAGGGGGGGGGGAGCGGAGGGGCACAGGGCAGGGCTCTGCAACGCGATGGAGCCTCCCCTGTGTCCCCATTACAGCCTAGGACTGTCCCCATGCGGGACTGTCCTCCCAGCAAGGCCCAGGACTGTCTTTTGTCACAGTTCAGCCCTGTCTTTCACACTTCAGACGGCCCCCCACATCTCAGCCCAGGAAGAGTCCCCCCTCATAATGCAGTGCTGTCCTTGTCTCAGCCAGAGACTGTCCCTACCCCAGCCCCAAACTCTCCCGGTCAAAGCCCCCAAATTGTCCTTGTCATGGCCCAGGACTGATCCCATCACATGGAGAACCGTCCCATTGTAGCCTGGGACTGTCACATCACAGACCAGGTCTGTCCCATGATAGCTCAAGACTCTCCCAAACTGTCCCCATCACCGCCCCGGACTTTCCCACCACAGCCCAGGAATGTCCCCATCAAAGCCCCAGTTGTCCCTGTCACAGCCCAGCATCCGTCACCAAAGACTCCGAAACGTAAAAATCTGCCCTATCTATCCACCACGCTGGCATAAGAGTCCCAGACAGAGTCAGGTGCAGACTTATCGTGAAAAACACTTTCCCCAAGGTTAAGCAGCAGCTGTCTCGGGTTCTAAAGATCCCTTCTTTGAGTTGTTACTATTTCTTTCCTCGCCGAGAAACTTGATTCTCTAAAATCATACTCTCCAAAACTCTGCTCACTGGCATCTTATCAGGAAGAACAGCCCCTCCCATTCTTGCCAGGACGATCTGTCACTTTGACAGTGCGAAGCTGCCTCGACTTCCAACCCGGACGCAGGCTTTCAGATAAGAGGTTTCTGGGACACAACATTCCACATAGATCTTAACCTTTTAATTCCAAGAAAATCGGGCCTTGAACCCAATTCCCAGTCCAGACCTGAGATCTATGCCTTCATCCTACCCCCAGCCCTGGGGGGGGGGGGGGTGTCTTTTCCCGACGCCCCCACGCGCTGACTATTCCCTCCTTAGTCCCCCCCACCCACCCCAGTCCAGAGCCTGTCCCATTACTCTGCCCTCCTCCGTGTTTCCCCCCACATATCTCCGGTCGGCGTCCCGGTCCCACCACCCTGTCCTTTCACAGCCTCGTGCTCCCTGCCACGGGGCCCCCTCCTCCTCGGGGCCCCGCAGCGGAACCCGAGCACCGAGGGAGCGGCGCAAAGCCGGACGAGCCGGGAGCTGGTGGGCCTCCCGGAAGTGGGCCTCCCGGAGGGGTTTCCCCCAGCCTCTCTCCCCACCCAACCCTGCCCCGGCCCGGGGCCGCGAACCCACCTGCCCCAGCGCGGGTGCGGCCATGGTCGGTGCGGCGGGCAAACTGTACCCGCCCGGGGCGCCGCCCAGAAGAAAGACGTTCCGGCCCCGCCCCGCTCACGCCCCCCGACGCGGGAGGGCCCCTCCTCTGACACCCCAGGCCGGCCGGGCCTCCCCGACTATGGGGCGCCCATGGGGAGCTGGGCCCTGCTGGAGAGCGCATGCGCTGGAATCCGCGAGGCGAAGGGGAGTCCATTGAAATACGCCCTCCTCCCCACCCCCACCCAGCTTCTGTTCCAGCCACGCAACCGCTGTACCAGAACGTACATGGAAGTTTTGTTTCTGTTCGTTCTTTTGCTTTCATGCAAAAGTACTGTCGCGGCACGCTAACGAGGATAAGCAGTTCGAGGTGAGAGAGGAAAGGCCAGGAACAGAAAGAAACCTCCGCATATCTCGATCCCTGGGTGATAAGGAAAAGCTCTCGCTGTAAACGTCTGTAAATAGATCACGTAAATGAGAAAGGACTTGGGAAAAAGGCCTCGGAAGAGGGTAGCAGGTAGGGATGAATGAGGGGGTTGCAATCAACCCCTATTTTTTTTTTCAAGAAAATTTTAACGTTTATTTATTTTTGAGAGAAAGAGAACGTGAGCAGGGGAGGAGCAGAGAGAGGGAGAGAGAGAATCCGAAGCAGGTTCCAGGCTCCGAGCTGTCAGCACAGAGCCCGATGCGGGGCTCGAACTGGTGACTCGCGAGATCATGACCCGAGCCCAAGTCGGTCGCCCAACCTGATGAGCTCCCCAGGCGCCCCACAGTCAACCCGTATTTGAATATACTTTTTTTTTCTTTCCAAGAGAAAATGTGTCTTCTTTGTAACTTTTTAGGAGCTACAACGCACGTGGTTCATCATGCCTCCTTCCGGTCCCTGTCATCAGCGAGGCCCGGAAAATTTTAATCCCCCACCGCATCAGTGAGCCTCTAAGGACAGCCCCTCAGGCAGGGTTCCCTGGTTATGCCCCTTCATGAGTGTCTCCCCACCCACAGGACCCCGAAGGACAGAGTTAGCTAATTACAGCGCACCAGGATCCACCTAATCCCTAGCGATTCAAACCTGCATCAGTGCCCCCTATACCGAACTCCTCGGCCACTGTGGCCCCAAAACCATCCGTGGTCAGAGTTTCCCCCAACTCCCGCATCCGGGTTATTGTGACACCGAAATGTTCGCGCTGTGTCCTCAGTTTCCGATTCCTGGGCCGCTGTGCCTCCGTAATCCCACCCTGGGATATTTTGCCCCCCAATTCTGTCCCCCGGCCCTAAGAGCCACAGGTCTCGGCAAATTCCCAAGCCTCCTCCTCCTCCTCCTCGGAGTCCCGTTTCGCTTCTCTCCGTCCCGGTCCTCCTCGGCCACCACCTGGCCCGGGGCCCGGGGGCCGCGACCGCGCCCGGCTCGCCTCGGCCAATCAGCGACTGCCGCACACCCCCGCCGCGGCCAATCCGCAGCAGCTATGCAGCCCCACCCCCTGGCCGGGGAGACTAACCCCCTACCGCGCCCCGCGCCCCATCAGGAACCCAGGGCCCGCTCTTCCTTAGCTAGGGAGTTCACGCCCTCTAACTTCCCCCTTCCCCCAAACCCAGGAGTTCGGGCCCCAGCCCCTCCTCCCTCTGACTCAGAGGAGTCTGAACCCCAGCTGCCTCTTCCCTCAGAACTTGTGGAGCCCACCACGCTCCCAATTCCTCAGCCGGCGAGGTCAAAATTCCTTTCCCCTAAGGACCAAGAATAACCAAGAGGAGGCCCTTTCGTTTCGCCTCCTCTACCATTATCTCCTAATAGAGCTTAATTTACTCTCCCCTGCGGGCCTTTTTATTAGCAGGGGTGAAGCCGACCGGCAATACTTTTCTCAGGAGCCCTCCGGGACGGGCTCCTGCTGCAAGGCCTGCTGGGAGTCGTAGTCCCTGGGGTCAAGACCACTCGTGGGAACGCGTGGGGCTGCAAGGGGCGGGGCGGGGGGCGGGGGTTGGCGGGACGCGCTCCCGGCGTGGCAGAACTCAAAAGAGCAGAAGATCAATGACATGAAGGCTTCTTCCTTCTGGCTGCAAACTACTTTTATGGGAACCTGCGGGGGGGTGGTTTGGCACGTTGGTTAGTGGACTTAATGTCTAGAGTTGGGGTGTGCATCTAAGAAGCAGGTGGGTCGAAGCTGAAATTTGGGAGTCCTAGTTAGGAAGGCCCAAGTGGAAACGTGAGAAATCAGGATGGGTTGGTGGGGGGCTCCAAGGGGGTGCCGGGAATGGCCTTGCACCCGTACCCCAGCTCTGCACCCCCGGTCACAAACAGCTCAGTCCCAGTGCAGAAGTTGGCTTCAGAGGCCAGGAACACGGCTGCCGCTCCCACGTCAGCTGGCTGGCCCATGCGACCCAGGGGCTGGGGAGAGACCAGGGAAAAAGGAGATCAAGGGAAGCCCCCGCCTGACTGCTACACCCTAAGCCTCCCATACCACATGGCTCTGGCCCCCCACTCCTACCTGGGCCAGTATGCCTTCTCGGATTGTGGCTGGGGGGTCAGGCGTGGCGGCGGCCAGCTCCTCCCACAGTGGGGTCCAGATGTTTCCTGGGGAGATACTGTGGGGAGGGAGGAGAGGGGATCAGGGAAGTGTGCCACAAACACGGCCTCGTGGGCTCACTTCCTGCCTTCTCCGCCCATTGGAGCTGCTCACCAGTTGACCCGGACGCCATATTGACTCTCATCCAGGGCCAAGGCTTTGGTCATGGCTGTTACCGCCCCCTGCGGAAGGTGATGTGGGGGAGAGTTCAGTCCAGGGAAGTTGAGGTTCCTCCTGTTCTCTCCTCCAACCAGGGGGTGTCAAGCTGGGACCTCAGAATGGGGTAGCCATGCCTTCCCTGAGGGCTTCTATGGGATGCCCCAGGCTCTGTTTCTTGGGAGGCACTGGCTGCAGGTTGTCATGCCTCAGGGCTGAAGTCCTTGGAGGCCCTGGTGGGGAGTGAAGGAAGGGGCAGGGTACCTTGGTGGCCACATAGGGAACTGCCTGGACCTGGCCAATGGCCCCGACCAGACTGGAGATGTTGATGATGTTCCCCTGGCTCTTCCGCAGGTGGGGGAGGGCAAGCTGGGGAGACAGAAGGCCAAGTAAGTCACCTGAGCCCCTAGAGCTGCCCCCAGCCACACTGAAACACACCCTGATGTCTGGGACAATGGCCATTGCTCTGGTATGTTCACTGCTTGGGTCTCTGTGCCTTGTAGGGACAGCATTCCAGAACCCCAGAGAGCACCTTCACTGGTTTGCCCCAGGGTCTCAGTGCTTCAGGAGTCTCTCCATGCCTGGAAGGCATTTTTCTCTGCCTCACCTCTACTACCCCTCTCCCTCTCTCTCTCCCCCATCCTTTGTGTCTTTGTCCTCCTTCCCATCCCTGTCCCCCCTTCTCTAGGTCTCTGTCTCCCCACTCTGGGTCTTTGTGTGTTACTCAGACTCCTGTCCAGATCGAGACAGGAAAATTCAAGATGGCCGCATATTTTGCAAAAATGAGAGGAGACTCTTTTATCCATGAGGGGAAGCCCTGTGGTCCGAATGTGATGGGGGGGGGGGGGTTGTGACATGCACCCCACTTCATGAAGCTCCCTACCTCCTTGGAGGTCCCTAAACTAATTCTCTCTCCCTCTCCTCCCTCCCTCTCTGTCTCTCAGCTCTTGGACTACACATGACCTTGAATAAACTCAAATTCTATCCTTCCCCTCTCTTTCCTTTGACGGCTGAGCTGGCCGGAGGCAAGACCTGTTCCTGCCATGTAATATTAAAGGGGCGCCTGGGTGACTCAGTCTCTTGAACTACCGACTTCACCTCAGGTCATGATCTCACGGTTTGTGAGTTCGAGCCCCGCGGCGGGCTCCGTGCTGCCAGCTCACAGCCTGGAGCCTGCTTTGGAGTCTGTGTCTCCCTCGTTCTCTGCCCCTCCCCCGCTCATGCTCTGTCTCTGTCTCAAAAATAAATAAACTTTATTTTTGTTAATGCTTATTTTTGAGAGAGAGAGAGAGAGAGAGAGAGCACGAGGGGGGGAGAAGTAGAGACAGAGGGAGACACAGAATCTGAAGCAGACTCCAGGCTCTGACCTGTCAGCACGGAGCCCAACGCTGAGCTCGAACTCACAAACCGTGAGATCGAACTCACAAACTGTGAGATCATGACCTGAGTTAAAACCAAGAGTCGGCCTTCAACCGACTGAGCCCCCCAGATGCCCCACCTGACCAGCCCTTTGAAACCTTCTCCACTCCCTCAAAAACAGCCTCCACCTATTCTGAGGACTGTAGCTTCAAACACTGAGCCTTCCAACCTCAGGGCCTTTGCGTTTGCTGTTCCCTCTGCCTGGAATACTTTTCCTGACATAGCCAGGGGACTCACCCCTAGGGTGACCAGCCATTCCAGTGTGCTCAGAACTGAAGTGCTAAGGTGTCTGTCACATAATAGTTGCTCAACAAATATCTTTTGCGTGAAATGAATGACTTTATTGAGGCTCTATTACGTGCCCCGCCCTGTTGTCAGGTCTTCACGCATATTGACTCATTTAATCCTGAGGACAACCCTAGAAGGAGGGACTATCCATAGCTCCTTTTTCCAGGTGAGGAGACTGACCAGGGGACAGAGGGGACTGTCACTGTGATGATGTCAGGGCCAGCACTTGTGGCCCAGCAGTGAGCAGTCAGGGACCAAAACCCGTAGCCAAGAAAAAGAATTTCTGAGTGGTAAGAACTTTAAGACAAGGGGCACCTGGGGGGCTCAGTCGGTTGAGCGCCCGACTTCGGCTCAAGTCGTGATCTCGTGGTTCGTGAGTTCGAGCCCCGCATCGGGCTCACTGCTGTCGGTGCAGAGACTTCTTTGGATCTTCTGTCCCCCGCCCTCTCTGCCCCTCCCCTCCTCATGTTCTCTCTCTCAAAAATAAAATACACATTAAAAAAGAGAGAGAGAGAGTGAGAAACAAAAGGAAAATAACTTGGAGATAATACAAGCATAAGTGCCAGGAGTATGTGGGCCCTGGGCAGGGGAGGGCGGGGGTGGAATTCTGATCCGCCCAATTTCTCAGGCACCACCCACACTTCTATCCTTTCCTTCTCCACGCTCTCTCATCAGCCTCAGAACCTTCCTCCCTCAGCTCTGAGGCTTGCCCAACCCCTACCCCAGGCCCCGTCCCTGCCTATTTTTTTTTTCCAATTTTTTTTTTAAAGTTTATTTATTTTCAGCCAGAGACAGAGAGGGCGCAAGCAGGGGAGGGGCCGACAGAGAGGGAGAGAGAGAGAGAAGAGAGAGAATCCCAAGCAGGCTCCACACTGTCAGCGAAGAGCCGGACACAGGGCTTGAACTCCTGAACCCTGAGATCATGACTTGAGGCTAAATCAAGAGTCAACGCTTTAACCAGCCAACCAACCAACCAAACAAGGGACTGACCCACCCAGGCGCCCCTGTCTCTTTCTTTCTTTTTTTTTTTTTTTTTTTTGCCCATTTCTTTTGTAAACCTTATCACTCTCCACGTAGGTATTGAACTTCCTCCCCACCCCTACCTGGCAAATGTGAGGTCCCTGAGGGCTGTGGCACTGGGCACACAGCTAACGCTCAACAAATATTTGT